CGTGAGCTGACCGCGTTTGCCTCGGTCCTGCCGGTTTGGCGGTTCTGGGAGAGCAGCCGTAGCGCGCGGGCCTTGTCCTCCTGGCGCCACACGGGGCTCTGCGTGTGACGCAGTTTTTATTTCTCGAGCGCGGGCAGGTGGTGGTGAATACATCGCTGCGCGATGCTGTGAAAAACAGTGCTCCGAACCCCCTCCCGCTGTGCGAATTTACGTTATTCACTGCCTTCAGTCAATGCGCGGTGCTTAAATAAGAAGGCATGCATACTGCTATCCGATTTTTTTTAAAAGTGTATTACACGAGTTTTGTTATAAGCCACCTGCGAACTGAAGTTGTTGAGAATTTTTAGATTATATTAATGCCTAAATACATTTTTATGTTGAAAGTCAGTTTCTTTAGTTTATTAATATCTAATTATAAATTACGTTCTTTTTGCACAGACCTTACAAAGTTTACAACTGCATCCTACTTTGTGATATAGAAAAGGACTAGCCTTCCAAATGGCCTGAGCTCCATTTCAAATTCATTCTTCACCCAACAATGAACCAGCTTCTACAGTATATGCCAGGTAAACAAAAATTAAAAAAAAAAAAATTCAAGAGAGCCAAAGAATGAAAGCTAATGAATGTGGACAATTAATGAAAGCTAACCGGAAAATGGGATTTTCTTTGAACTTGAAATCTAATAAAGGATGGCAAATAAACTTCCATTGGAAATTTTCTATAGCAAGTATGTATTTCCCCCTCTTTTTTTTTTTTCTTTTCCTCTCACTGTCTCACTTAGAACAGCTTCTTCTCTCACAGTGTTTCAGGTTAATTTTGTAATTTAAAAGGCTGCTGTAAGGCTGTTTGTTTGCAATAGGGCTTTATATTTGATTTTGTGTTTTACTGTTCAGGCTGTGGAATTTTGTCACTGCTTTTTACTCAGTTCCAAAACAACCTTAATGCTTTATTTTGTTTGTCTTTTTGCAATTAAATTTCCTCTGATGAAATTCCAGTGATGTCATTGCTGTGGATTAATGCTCTTATCTGTGGAGAATGTGAGTTAACCTGGCACTGCCATGTGTTTCTTCCTAACAGTTGAGGCTAGTGAGAGGTGTTTCCCAAGAAACTCCAGGCAGGTGTCCATGCCATGCAATCACACATGCCAGAATTAACAGAATTAAACAATGGATAATAAATGTCAGAAATGTGCAGAACCACATTAAGGTATTTGAAAGTCCTTGATTTCTCTTGACTTGTATGGCCAACTCAAGGGCTTAGTCACATCCTTGTTTAGATAACGGTTGCAGTACTTTCAGGAATTGTTGCTTCCTGACAGAAAATACAATCATGTGGCATGGGAGATAGAAGAGGAGCTCTGAGTGATCCTCAGTCACTCTGTCATAGTCCAGTGACATAGTCAAATACCAGCAGATGGAAGAAATCTGAACTTGAAGCTGTAGAGACTGGGGATCATGTCGTGTTCTCCCAGCTTTACTGTTCAGCCAGGGGCCTCTCACGGAGGGGAGGTTACAACTGGGAGTAGAGTTAAAAGAGCCAGTAACAGGTAAGATTGTGCAGCCGTTTTCCCTATACCTGCAATTCAGTGCTAATTATTTTGTCACCTGCATGCTACAGTCCCACATGAGGCAGACTGTAGAAAAATAGAGAAAAGAAGAAGTGTTGAGGTTTCCTTAAAATGAAGGACAGGTGTCATGTTTTGCTTAGTCAGAAACTTTTCAAAGTTGTAATTGAAGTTGCACTGTAAAATAGTGAAGTGGGGAAGCCCTCTGGGCATGAAATCTGATGGTAGCAAATTCTTTGCAGTGTGGCTCAAGCGATAGTTGCTTTATCTTAAGAATGTGATGCCTTTTCAGTTAGGTAGATCTTCAGTTCATGCTGTTGGGTTGCTGCTGGAGTCAATCTCTGCTCTGCTGGAAAGCTGATGAATGGCACATTGGAAGAGTGCGGGGTTGGAGCCAATACCATTGCTAAGCACTGTGCCTTAGGGGTATGCAGTCAAGAAGAACGACTGGCGTCTGATCAAGGAAAAAAAAGATTAGGTGCATAGATTCCCTGAACTGTACCAAAATGCTTTTGTGAGCTTCTCTAACATTAGGAAGGTAAGGTAAGATTCACTGGTGCACCAGTGGATCATTTTAACAGGCTCTTGAGCAGAAGCTTAGCTATGCAAAATATGGGATGACTAGACTTTTGAAGAAAATATTCTTTGTCCCTGCTTCATATCAGCAGTATTTTCTCACTTTAATGACCCTTGGTCACCTTATCTATGCTTATTTTTGTTGTGGCTGATTCAGTCAATTCTCAGTTATAACCTGCAGAGTTAATAGTGACATATATGCTCAAATGGTGCTAGACAGTTTTAGAGCTTTGCTTTTTCTGAAGATGTCAAACTTGTAATTAGAATTCAGTTACTAACACAGTGATTAAAATTCAGCACTTGTTTATGCATAATGTATGTGAAAGAGGAAGCGTCTGTTTCACAGTGGAAAGATAGGTGGACTAATGAAATTTTGCAGCTGAAGTAAAAATTTGAGAGTTCATAATTGGCATGCTCTCCAAATTAGTTGTGCACACATTTTATCTCTTGTTCCTTGCTATGATTTACAGAAGCTCTAAGGGAAACTGCTGTGTTCAAATTACTTTTGAATTTATAGAAATACTGTTTTGCTTTCAGATGTTAGGCACTAATGTGTCTAGGGTTTGTGCTGCTGGTTGTAAACCCCATATGTAGATCCCATATAAATTACTCTTCATTTAGAAATGTGCCTTTCATGAGTATTCTTTGCAGCAATGCCCATGATGTGCTTGTGAGAGAAAAGTGTAAATAGCATTGAAAATGCCAGTGCTAGTTAATATTGTGTATTTTCTCATTTAGGTCAGTGTAGCTCTGTAAAGTAAGTTTGGGCCAGTCATCTTTCTAGACTGAGAATTAGTGAATTTGGATATGTTTAGGAAAAAAATCCTCATTTGTAACTTTAGATACATAATTCAGGGGCTTAATGAAGATTCATAATAGTCCCAGCTCCTTCCATATATTGCCATGATAGGCACCTACGGATGGCCTAGTTAGAGGCTCCCTGAAGACTCTTTTGTTCGGCTGACTAGGTAGCACTCACACCATGTTCTTGTTTGGTGTCTCAAGTAAGATGGAAGGAGTCATCACTGTTGCAGTTCCACAGAGACGGGAGGATTTGACAGCACTGACTGTACACAACTCACATCACTGTCAGAAATTAGAATAATCTCGATTCTGCTGATGAAGAATTTGAGGTTTCCCTTACTCAGAGCAGCACAGGAGCTCTGGTATATCTAGGAAACCTATGTATCTGTGTCTTGCAGTTACTTGCAGTCTTGTTGTAAACATGAGAGTGAAAGAAGAATATTATAAGAAAATGCCCATACTTCATATCTTCCTTTCAATAGACAGAGAAAACTAACAATAGATTATTGGAGTGTATTACTGTGTTCCACTGAATTGCTCCCGTTGAACTTAGAAAAACAAGAATATAAAATATTCTGCGTTTTTGGGGAAGAGCAATTCTGATAAGCAAAGAAGTAACGTGAGATGTTTTAAACATTTGATGAAATTTGGGGTCACCTGGCTTTACTAGAGGTTAAGTTTTAGTTAGTTTCTCCAAGGACTTGCAGAGTTTCAGTGATGAAGCTAGTTATAACCCTTAATGATCTCTCACTTAAAATAACACACATAGGATAAATTTTCTCCATTAAATAGATAAGTTGCTTTTATTGGCAGCTGAAATAATATACTACTATAACACTGCAGGATAGAGAATAGAAAAATTGCACATCTTAGTGGATTTCCTTTATTTCAAATTAGTGTATTACAAATATTAGTCAAAAAATAAGAGAAATGGGACATATTTTATATAAATCAGAAAAAAAATAGGCATGCAACCTGACTAAACATCGTTTATTATATTTTGTAATCACTTACATAAATCACTATGAACCTTAATTTATAATTTCAGGTTATATTAATGTACAACATTTGTAGCAAAAATTGTCAGAATATTTACTATTTTACTAATTTCTACTTGAAATTTACTTACTGAGTTTAATTACTATAATCATACACTTAATTCCACTCTGTATGAGAGCTTGAAAATTCATTATTGACTCTTGTCATGTAGAATCCTTATTTTTGGTTACAGAACTCTTTTGTTTGTCAGATTAGCAAGCATTTGAATAAATATAAATTAGGAATATAATTTTGATAAATGCATGTGTTTTTGGCATAGGTGGAGATTTGGCATTGCTATAATTAAACAGCACTGTAAGTGCTCTACTTGTATTACATCTAAAGTTTTGACTTGATACATACTATGCAGGTGTTAGCTCTCTCTCAAGTGGGTGAAATGTATCTTAATCTCTGTCTATTAACAGGGCAATGCAGGATAAAAGAAACATGCATTTTGCATTGTTATATCATTTTGCATTGTTGATATCATGCGTTTTGCATTGTTGTTATTTTTGGCTTTCTAAGATAAATATCAAAAGGATTTTAGATTGCATAAAATGTAGTGCATTTTTAGATTGTATAAAATGAGTGTGGTTTCTTGTTTGTGTTTTTTAAAATACTGTCAGTCTTGTGAGACATAGGATATCTGATTTTCCTTCTTTTGCCTATGTTGCAGTATAGGGGGCAAATAGGAGCTGGTCACATTTTCTTGTCTACCTCCCCATTGTGTTATGCCTTGGATTTTTGAAAAATCTGTTAATAGGTCGAATTCTAGATCTGTTTTGGATACGTGTGTCCTTAGAGCATTGTCATTAAAATGCATGTGTTGAAATCAAGCCTGGGATACTCTACATTCATAAGTTGCACTATGAATAGAAAGTCAATACATTTTTGTGGTTGCCCCTAACCATTAAGACTGGAGGGAGGTTCTTTGAGAGAATTTCTAGCCAAGCCATATATAGGTGGTCAGACACTACTCCTTTTCTTGCCACTGGGAGGCTCCTGTTTCAACAGAAAAAGAAATAAAATTACTATTATAAAGAGAGTGGTAGCTGTGTTAATATACATCTCACTAAATATTAAGTAGAAAACGTCAACTGTTTCTGTACCAGAGTGAATAGTTTTGATCAGGCTACGTGACTTTATTATTTTTGTAAAATAGAAAAGTACCATTAGGCCTTAATCTTGCAAACTCTTGGTCACCAGCCTAATGTCATTAAGATGATTAGTTGCACTCTAATCCATGGAGTCCTTATGACAGCAACCTTAAATAGGTAAAGAAGCATTTTCAGGTTCAGGACCATAAACCCCGTGGATAATACAGTAAAAAACAGAGAAGAAAAGTATAGCACATGCAAAATTAGGCAGTCCATCAGCTCATTTCTGCATGTGTAATTACTGCAAGATGAGGGTTTTACGCTATGCTTCAATTTGCTCTAAACATATGTGATAATCTGATCTTTGTAGACTGAGTTAATAGAGCTGGAGAGGTTTATCTGTGCAGCACAAATACTGATTTATTCAGATTGTCTATGTCTATATGGCTCTGTCAAAATTGATTCTGAAAATGGCTTCATTGGTTTTTGTATTTTTTTCTTGGTGACTGATTTTTCTTTATGTGGTTGCATTATACTTATTCAGTTATACATGTTTTCAAGTTCATTTGGCTAAGCTCTCAGTTAATGATGTGCAAACAAAAACAATCCTTTCTCTAACTTTGAATATTTTTTTTAATAGTTATGGGAAATGAAAGGAAAATGTGTGATTTTGGCAGGTGAGTAAGAAGGCATAACACTCAAAATTTAGAGCTGAAGGTGTAAATGATGTTTTCAACACATTTTCATGAGTAGAACTTTGCTTTAAGCTATGAAGAACTATTAGGTAAGGTTCATATTCAGCGCAGTCCAGAGAACCATCAGTGTATATTTAACTCCTCAAAAGATGCTTAAATTAGGTTATTTTTTTCTCTCAAGCACAAGGTTATTTTTGCTGTCTGAAAGCAAGACTTTCTGTTGGTCTTTCCAGAAATCTCTACATGCAATATATGATTCTCTGAGCTAAAACCAAAATTGTATAACTTACAAGACGATCAGGTTAGCCGCCCGAGAGTGTTCTTGTAGGAGTTCGTTTAAACGGACTTGGCGGTAACTCTGTTTTTAAACCAAAAAAAAAAAAAAAAAGAAAAAAATCAGTTAGATCAGTACCAGTTAGTCCTACTTAGACTACCCCTTACCCACAAGACTTTTTGCTGTTCTTCTGACACCATTGGAAGCCAGGAAGGCTCTGTGGACCAAAGGGATGGAGAGAAGAAAACACGAGGCTGCCTAGGGCATGTGCCTTGTTCAGTATTGTTGTTACCTGCAGACCAGGATTGTTGACAACTGTGTAAGATTTCCTGGGAATGGAGGTTTATTTTGCATTGGCACAGGGCCAGGACTGTGTCAGACTGTATTTTTTCGTATTTGTTGGCTGTGGAGTATAGTTGCTTGGGAGCTGCTTGCAAATTCTTGTGCTATCTGTTGATGGCAGTTAATATATTCATCTAATTTGGTGGTGTCCAGCTGCCGTGCCACCAGGGCTGTACAGCAGTATGTAAATAGCCACCTTGCCACTCGGCAGAAATTCTTCTCTTAATCAAAAGTCAAGAAGGTCTCCATATATTACAGAGTAAAAGAATTAACTGTGTTATATATAATCTACTTATATGGGCTGTTACGATTTGCATAAATGTCTGTTACTTTGAGATTCAGTCGAGATTCCCTTACAGTCCTGCTCACCCTCTCAAAGCTTTTAAAATGTAACACAAGTCACAGAGAACAAAAGAGCAGGACAGAGTAGCATGTGTGCCAGGTGGTGTCTGTTTACCAGAGAAGGTAAAAAGCTGCCTTTTTCCCAGTCAGATTTCTGAGAAGCTTTCCTTCTTTACAGAAGATTTGGTTTAGTTTTAACCTTTTACTTCTACTGGTGCCACCAATCTTCTCCTGAGTTTTAAATGTGTTCTAGTGGAGTCTGCAAAGTTCCTGGAATGACTTAGCACTGAGGAGGAGGGATGCGCCTTTCTGGGTATGTAATAAAAACTTTTTTGAATTTTTTTTGTTGGTCTTATTTTTCTAGAAGGACTTGGCATCTTCACATTGCTGATTGCTTTCAGAGGAGTTGGGTTTTTTTGTTTGTTTTCCTCCCCCTACTTCTTCAGTTTTGGATCTGGACAAGACCAAGCTAAAGATGTATTTATTTGTTCTATTTCCTGTTGCATCTTCGCTGCTTTTGTACATGTGTGTGTATGTCTGGTAGTATATTTTCACCATATTTTATGCTGGGATGTTAAAAATGCTCTCATTCTCAGATTTTGATGATTTATGTTGAGTGGTTGAAAAGTTGTGTCTTCAGCTGTGCACCCTAGCTTTCTGTTGGCTGTTAAAACTATAGAAAGCTTGATGCAGTGAGCTGTCAGTCTGCTTCATGGCTGCTAGAGTCTGTGGCATGGTGCGTTATCTCAAATCATCATTGATTTCAGCTTATGTTAATATGGCAGGTTGTGACCTCTGGCACTTCTGAGCTTTGACTCACAATCCTTGCTGTACTGAGGGAGTTACCAGCACCATAAAGTAGAGATAATTACACACTCACTACACTTGGGTTAATCCAGCAGAAAGCATAAATTAGATCTCTAGATTAGTTCTCTGACTTGCAAGACTTGTGTCTTCAGGGCGGCACTGTGGGTATTCTGTCAGTACTGCCCTGATGAGGCCTTCACAGCTCTGCTCAAAAGGTACGTTGTAAAAAAGCTAAAGAGAAACCTAGGCTCTAATTCATCACATGGATCAGGTAACATCAACCTCAGAGTGCTTCCAAACTGCACGTAGAACTTTTACATTGTAGGCAGGTTTGGACTTAGCTCTGCCTTTGAAGTAAGAATCTGTATTAAATCTCTGCTTTGGATAAATTCAGAGAGCCAATCAGAGGGTCTAGATTCATCTCTAAATTTCCCAGAGTAGTGAATGCTGGAACTGTAGTTGCACTTTCAGATAACAAAATTTGTTTTTTTGTCTTGAAATACAGACCCAAGCTCTTCAACTTGATATTGCAGCTAAAATCCTCCATTATTTAATTCCATTCAGCAATCCTTTAGTGTTGTCCCAGTATGTATTTATTATTGCATAAAAAATGTTCAGAGAGGTATATGGATGGATAAGTCTAAACCTCCCCTTTAAAAGTTTCAAGTTCTAGAACCGTGAAACAATTTAATAAAGCAGAGCAGAGTAAGCTCAGTGCAGTGCTCTGTAGCTTCTTGTATAGCTGACTTTAATCTGTCTCTGAATGTGGGCTGAGCTTTTTATCATCACTCTGGAAAATGACACAAAAATGCCTATAGAGCGCTCCAAGTGAGATCGTACACAGTGCTGAATAATGCAGTCATACTACGCTTCTGGAGTGTTTACAATAAAAATCCAATTTCTGAATATCAGATATATTCATACATGTCATTTGTTTCTAAATCTGTATCTGTTATTTCACACTTTCTAATTGTTTCAAACATGTAGTCTACATCCTAAGAAAAGGAACAAGTGTAGAAAGGTGGGCAAGGTTTTACCTTCTCCTTGAATGCTTCCAGCTCTGCGTCTGTAATTTTCCATGGAGTCTCTCGCTTTAATTTCTCAGCAGTTGTTATATCTTTGCAGCTTTCATGGAGGCGATATGGTTCAATCATCTCTTCAAAGAATTTCCAGCTGAAACAGGAATTATAAAGGAGGCCTTACTGCAGGATATAAACTTACTATTTCAGAGATATTCTGGGTATGGCAGGCCTTGTTGACTATAGAACTGTAACTGAAAAACATGCTAAATCCTTAACTGTTCTGAGCTACATTGTGCCCTAAGTTATGTCTGTGCCACTTTATTATGTTGAGGTTACATGAGGGTAGAGACAGCGTTTGCCTGATTACAGCTGTGGGAAATTTGCTGCATTTTCCTGTTTGTAGCCAACCTGTAGTCCTGTAGTAGCTCTGAAATGCAGTGTATTGGTCACTAGTGAATATGAGACTCCTAATAAATACTGAGTTGTTACTCAGATTGTCTTAAAGTTAGCCTGAGCAAAGACTTTATCAGTAGCTTTACTGTTCTGGTTTTAGTGACATGGAGAAACAGACAAAATGCATCTCCCATGGCAGTGCCGTAGACTTTTTTTCCTACTCGAGGTTCAGATTGTTTTTAATTCTCTTCCACACATTTTTCTCTGTAAATATGGGGTTGTTTCTTAAATCGTTGACTGATGTAGTTCAGAAAAGGATGATGTCCTTCCTTGCTTTCCTTCCTGCCCCCTCATTGGAGATTTCTACCCTTCCATAGAGCTCTTAAGGCTCTTCTGTTGTGTCACTGCACTTGTGTTTCTTTTAGCTCTTTGATCGGTGACTCTGGGAAGGCAAACGGGAGGCCTGGGTGCTGGTCAGACTTTGCTATGTGGCCAGCAAGTCAGGAGCAGGGCTAAAGCCTGTGATAGCGTTTTGCATTGCTATTGCAAAGTTGCCAGCTTTCTGCATTCTCAGTGCCTGTTTCTATGGGTAAGATAGCAATAATCTGCTTAGTGAAATAAATGTATGCCATTTGGGAGAGAAACTCAGTGGTCTGGCAAGTGTCTGGTCACAGTATTCACTTGTTCTTGACAGTGCTGATGTGGCAAATGTGTTTGCTTTTTATGTTAATGCTAAATGCAAACTCTGTTCTGATTTATAGTGCGTGTGCGTTTCTTTCAGCTGTTTGCATTGTGAAATACTTGATCAGTGCTAGGGAAAAAAGAAAAAAGAATCATATTTTGCACAACTGTTTGTATAACTGAAAATATTAACTGAGGAATCAAAAGTGGACTAATAAAAATGTGGACTTCAGCTACTTGCAGGTATATAATAACATTAATGTCTTAAATTGTATCTCCTAACTAAAAATCTCCAGTGCCTTGTAGAGCACTAGTGAATTTGAGTGGGACTGAGAGTAGCCTGTGATTGCACCACTGTGCTGAGGAAGCCCATTGACTGTGATACCTGCAGGTATTGAATGGGGTGGGGTGGAGGATAGCATAGAAGCATATAGCAAAGCAAGAACATCTCCAGCAGGTCTTTAAGAACAAGAGCTATTGCTCTCTGTGAATTGCATTAGGATTCACCTGCTCCCAGATTAAAGTACCATATACTTTTCTGTAAATAAAACAGGAATAGTCTATTTCTATAACACTGTGCTTTTGAAACCAGGTAATCTTGGAGATTTTGAATGATGTGCAGTGCCTACATTGCACAGACCAAGCTGGCTGAGTCAGCAGGTTTGTGAAAGAACAGTAGTTGAACAGTATGGTGAAATGAAGGCTATTGCTACCTAAATTGGTCTTAAGAGCCATGATATGATGCCCATAAAATTTATGACTCTTAACTATGGTGGCTAATTGGTCTTTATATGAAAATTATATCTTATCATTCCAATATAAAGAAAAAACTACCAATTGTTCAGACCCTTTGAATTGTGCTTTAAAAAATTGCTGCTGTAGATTCTTAGAAAATAATTGCAATGAAATTTCTATATTGTTCTCTTTTTTTTTCTGTCTCTTTTTTTAATGATTAACATAAAGCTGCTGATAAATGGCTGCTGCTAAATAATAGGTTTTGGTAATGTTTCTTACCTCTCTTTGCTGGGCTTCATATTGATATCGCAAACAATATTAATGTCAGCAAATTTTATCCTGAATTTACTTAGAAGTGAAGCCATCCTGAAAAAAAGAGGTAACGTTTCATCACCATGTTTTTGAGTGACTTGAATCAAAGAGCACTCATAAATGAGTTAAGATATCAAATGCAATTCTGTCGTTAACTATATGATAAATTACTTCAAAAACTATGATTAATGTTTCAGTTTCCAATTACACAACCAGATTGCTGCAATATAACTCACTGAACTGAGGATCAGCGAAAACCACAAAAAATAGAAATAAATTGACAGGGGTTTACATTTTAGGAAGGAAAGGTACTTTGATCAAATATTTGCTAAGGCTTGAAATATGAAGGAATGTGTTAAATGTATGAAAACACTGTGGGACAGAACTTCCCAATACTTAATGAAGGTTTCTGTGATTACATAAATGTTATGCGTGGAGTATGTACACTGATAGTGTATGCATTGGAGAAATTTTGATCCAGAAAGTTCAACATGCAACATTTTTTCATATGTGAATTTATATCGTTTCAGTATTATGTATGAACCCATATATATCCTTTTTTTTTTTTTTTTTTTTTTTTTTTTCTCTTTTTAAGCTTTGCTCATACCCAATGGTCAGAAGGAATGCTTTAGAGTTTTGTGCTCAGATTGCAGAGGGTTAGGTCAGTTCCGCATTTATTTGAAGTATGGTTGGGAATTTTTTTTTGGTATGTAAACTCTGTAATTTGGAAAGGTCAGAAACTTCCTAGGAACAGACCATAATAGAAATTCATTTTTGTTTGTGACCTGAGAATTTATAGTTGTTTTTGTTTTATAATTTGAATGCAGTGTTTGTATAAAAGACTTCAGGATTTTAGACAATACCCGTTTTGAACACCAAGAGCAGCAATGTCTCTGCTCTTATGGGAAGGTTTTAATACTGGGGAATTGCACATAAGCAAAAGTCCAGATTAATTTTTTTTCTGAATTGGTAGATACAATGAGTGGAATTGTACTTGGATATTCTTGTACTAGATCTGACTAGTGAACAGAAAGCTAAATGCCCTCCAGATTTGTATTTCTGAGGCTGCTGTGTATGATAGAATATTCTGCTGAAGAGAACTGATGTTTAAGTTAAAATATATGTATTTGTTTTTCTTATGACATGCTAGGTCATACTGGCAACATTGGCCACTTAGGATTAGAATTTGGCTTTTATAGAAAAAGAAGTGTCTGTGGATACTGGAACTGCATGCGTAAAGGTCTATGCTTTAAAAAAATCTCATTTGATGTGAGAACTTCTAGCTTTCTCTCTAGGTGAAATTCAGTGCCTTGTGTCCAAACCCCAGGCTTTGATATCAGGCCTAGGAGGCAGCAGCTGCCCTGAAACAGCCGAGCATGGGCAGGTTCCTGACAGTGTGGGAGTGGAGAGCACTTCCATTCAGCCCGTGGAGGAGCTGCACAGCTGTATTTAGCCATAAGAATGGTTTGTATGATCACTTTTAAATCTCTTTTACCTCAGTGTGGGATATTGGGGATAATCCATACACAATCTGTACCACAAGAGTGTGCATCAACTTTATGTTTTATGTGAAAGCACAAGTTCACGGGAGCTTCCCTGTGGAAAACTGCTGTTGTGAGTCATTGTGTTGTAATCCTGTTGATACTGGCTAAATTCTAATTCCTGTCCTTGTACCCCTCCTGGGTATTTTCCACTGAAATTTAATTAGATATGTTGTTTTTGACTTGCTGCATAGTTAAGCAGTTCCTGAGTGCCATGCCAAGCTGCCTGTGTTTCCACAGGTGATGAAATGGCTGTGCCTCTAGTATGTAAAGTGCTTTGGAATAAAAGATAATGAACTTATAGGAGCACGTTTGGGTTTTTTTTGAAGGCAAAAATGATTAAGAAATAAAGACTTTTGAGAAAAGATAAGTAAAAAACAACTTAGTCTTAAATTCTTTAAAGCTTGTTAATGTTAATCACATTTATATGGGCTATCTATCGTATGTGCATTTGAGAAGCTTCTTGTGCAGTTTTATTTTCTGTCAACTGGGAAGTATTCTGTAAATCCTATAAAACTAATGATATTTTCATTAAAGACTGCAGAGCCTTCTTAGAGAAGGGAATATGAGCTATTAATGAGAAAACTTGTTGGGTATGAACTTCCTATGCTAATAACCATTTACACTGATCCTTGAAGGCCATACTATGAATTCAGCACTTTTCTATGAAGCATGTTTTTTTAATACTGTTCACAGTACAAAAAAACAGTTGTGCAGAGAATTCCCAGCTTTCTGTATACATGCCTTATATTCAACATCAATTCAAACTCTTTAAATAGTGAATGAAAATAGTTATATTTACACCAGTTTTTCTTCTTCAATCCTATTGACTTTTCCTCCAGTAAAGATCCTTAATTTGCAGCTTTTCCACTTCTTCCTGATAGTTAGAATGTAAGGAATTAGGATTGTTAGACCTGAAAAAAATACACAAAATTGCAGGGAGATCAAGTCAGTGCAATGCATGGAAAAACTGTAGAACTACAGAATGGTTGAGGTTGGAAGGGACCTCTGGAGATTATCTAGTCCAAACCCCGTGCTCCAGCAGGGATACACAGAGCACGTGGCTCAGAGTGGCATCCAGGCAGGTTTGGAAGATCTCCAGACAAGGAGACTCCACAGCCTGTTTGGGCAGCCTGTTCCAGGGCTCTGTCGCCCCCACAGTCAAGAAGTTCTTCCTCACATGGAGGTGGAACTTCCTGTGTTTGAACTTGTACTCATCACCCCTTGTCCTATTGCTGGCCACCACCGAGAAGAGTTTGGCCCCATCCTCCCTACATTCTCCCCTCAAAACAAGAAAACTCCATCCTTCACATAAGCAGCACTGGGCGCAAGTTTATTTTCAAATATTTAAGTCATGTATAAAGATAACTACATAATCTAAATGCCAATGGTTTTATGTAAGTTGCTAAGTACATTTTTTTGTGTTTAATAACACAGAAATCTTTCTCTACATGAATTCCTTACCTCCATCATCAAACAGCCACCAAACATCAATTGTACCTTTTCCTTGCTTCTTTTTAAATTGAGTACTGGCTTCTAGCAGCTTTTGGTTGAATTCGCCCACATGCATTGACTGTATTGTGTTAATGGTGCTCTCTGCAAGGAGGAAAGAAAAATATGAAGAGTCATTGGAAAGTGAAGCAACAGGGAGACAGGTGGAGCATAAAGTGTTAGGAGAATTCTCCCCAGTTCTCTGTTCACACATTTTGGGGGTATGGGGAGGATTGCATTCCCAAGTACCAATAATGGAGTAAAGAAGACTAATGAAATGTTGTCTCCTCTTACTATATTTATCTCTTGCTTAGGAGGAAAGAATGCGTTTATAATACCTATATAACATAAAAATGGATAATTTTCATAATCTGGCAGGTTTTATTATATTCACCATTGTTAATTGTATTGAACTAATTGAAACCTTGAATCTGTGAACTGTTCTATATGTGGTTAAATTTATTTACAGGAACCAGATTGGCTGATATGTTTGAAATTCAGCAGGTGTGTAAATGTTTGCTTTAAGGCCTCTTTTTTGGATATACTATGAAACAAGATATTGAGGGCGCAGGGCCTGACTTGTTTCTGCCATATTTTTTATACACTGAATCTACAAAACTTCCTGTGCAGATACAGTGGACCTTTAGTACGCCAGTCTACCCAATTTCAACAGGCTTGAGCTTGTGTAATACTATGTCATCAGTTGTAGTATCTGTAAAAGAGTTAGGTCATTATCTATTCTCTGGCTCTTATTAATGAACCTAGAATTCACTGAAACATAAAAAATCAGACCGTAAACATCTGATAGATTTTTTAGAAGTAAATGTCAATTTATATTTGTATTCTTTACAAGCCTATCTGCTATAAAATAAGTCTCTAAAATGTGTGTTATGGCAGACAAAGCCAATGAGGTACAGAGAGAACACAAGTAGAGCTAAAATAGAAGACAGAAAACAAGCATATATGGCAACTGCCCTGTACTTGGGATGGTCTTTGTGCTGAAAATGTACTCTGCTTTTTGCTGTTTGCTTGGCTCTCTTTAAAATGTAAGTGCTTGCCTATGTGCTAACAATATCATCTTCCATTCCATCTTTTGAAGCCTGTGGCTTTATTACTGCTTTTCTTTCAATGATTTCAAAGAGACAGTGTCAGAGCAGTGTTTAAAGTGGAGCAGACAGGCTTCTCTAGAGGTTTTGCTCTGATCTGCTAGGTTCTGAAAATGCTTTGTTCAGTTTCCCAGTATTCCTAGAGTGCAGGCAAGATGGTTCGAATACAGTTATTGTCTCTTCTCTGCAGTTCTAGCATCTCTGCTGGACGATGCAACAACTCTGGGGAGGATCAATGTGTAAGCAAAATAGATATTTATTCCATGGCAGGAATATTTATTAATTCATCTGTCTCATATGGAGCCAAAGTGTGCAATATGTATTTCCTTAATGCCTTTCTGAACTAAGTCAAAAGGGTAATTGAAGCAGAGAAGCACATTTTTGTTGTATTTGCTATAAAAATACATTCTACTGAAACCTGTAAAAATGAACTGAAGTCTGCCAAGTAAAGAATAATAACCTTTATGTTTCCAGTCTGTACAGCATCTTGATACCTGTAAAAGTTGTATGCACAGCTAGATGTAATAGTACATACTTGTCTGTGTACAAACATGGCTTCAGGTGAGTCATCCTCATTACACCTAGCAATTGTGAAATGAGACCTTTAATTCCATGTATACTTCTATGTCATTTTACTACATGGAGTGTGTAATTTTTATTCTATCGTCCATATGTTTAGGTTATGTGTTAATTATTTTACAGCATGCTGTATGTGTACTTTTACTACCTTCATTTGTATTTTTTATGAAATCTTCCTTAGAACCTAGAGCTGTGTTACCACTTTTACTTGATTTCAAGCAGCTGGATGCTGTTTTTGTGTGTGAATGTTAGGTAGAGTGAGACTGTTTTTTCCCTGAGTGTTGTATGCTTCCTGAGGATGTATACATCCTGATACAGTATTTTAAAAGGGGGGCTAGGGGGCGGGGGCAAGGCCTGCATATAAAAATGTAAAATGTCCTATATATAAGTAAAAGGCTTTTTCTGTGTCAATCTAACATAAAAAACCACATGCTGTTTTTGACAAACAGATTTCAGAATAAGAGCAGGATTGTGAACCTCATCTAACAAATGAGAAGAAATAATTCTGTCATACACAGTAGGATCTCCCGCCAGCAGAGGACACTCGCTCTGTGCTGCATTACAAATTACTGGTCAACTAAAGCAGGTATGCACAAGGTTAGCTCCTGTTCCAGAGGCTTCTGTGTGGCTCTGGTGTGTTGGCTTTAGAGTCAGTGAAGATATGATGAATCGAAGTATGGTGAAAGAGTTCTCATTTTGGCACTTACCCTTTTTGGTTTCTTGCTTTGAGATATTGAACTTGCTGACTTTTCCAAAGAATCTATAGAAACCGTGTTTTCCTTCTTCAAATTCATTATCTTTAATGGTAGCTTCTAGTGCCAATCTTTCTTGCTCCAGCTTCTCTAATTCCTCTGTATATTGGGAAGAAAGTAAGGAAACTGGTGACACATCACTCGCTATTTTAAGCTCAATCACTTATTGAAATAATGGTGATGTAATTGCTGTTGTGGCACTTAGTACACAATGTAAAACTGCTGGCAGAAAAGCTTCTAAATGCTTTTTTGTTTAAAACTGCTAGGTAGCAAGAAGCAGCAATGGCATGTTCTAAAGTGCTGGTCCAGCTGCTATGGGACTTGCTTTTTCTTAACCAGACAAATCAGATGGGGGTGAAGTAGTATATTTTATAGTTACATTAGATTTTACTCTTTTTTCCTCCCCCTCCCCAAGTGTATGAAAACGCTTCAGGAAATCTGCTTTCCTAAAGCAAGAAGCTGATGTATTAAGCCCTTTATTTAGGGCACCTACTGCTACCTTTGAAGTTTGTGACATCTGTTCTTTGACGTCCCTTGGCAGTGTACCAGACCTTTAATTTATGAGGCAAGGACATCATTTTCTTGATTGTTGTTTCTTGCTCTTTGGACTTTGTAATTCTCAGAAATACATAAGGACACTGAATACATGATCAACTTCTATGCAGAATTATTTTAGTGTATTGTAATTTTTTTTCCAGTATTTGCTACAGAGACATAAGATTTAGCTAAACTATGCTGTTCACTAATACAAATAAACAAATGTCGGCAATGCTGGCCTCTTTCTGAGGGGGGAAAAAATGGAAATGAGTAAATGATGATCATAACTAGTGTAATTAGTGCCTGCTGAAGCCTTTATTGGAAAGGAAAATTTCAAGTGAGACATGGACTAAGAGTGAGGTAAATTCATTTAAGAAATTGTGTTTAAAAAACAAACAAAAAAAACCTCCAAAAAACTACTCATCTACTCTCCATTAGTTCTGTTGGACCTCAGCTACTATTGTATCTTTTACTTAGAATCCAGATCGACAACCAGGGGCTTCTGATAATTAGAGTTAATGATAGCCACTGAATAGTTTTTCAAAACTAAAATTCCAGTTTTTCTCTTAAGCAATACAATGATCCTTCCACATTTCAGACAGATTCTGACTTTATATAGCATGCAAAGAGGTAGACATTTCTCCTTGAGGTACCACCAGGGAGTAAAAAAAAGCAGAGATCAGTTTGATTTTTTTTCTTAAATCCTTATAGTATTGCACTATAGCTCTCCATGCAAATCAAGCTACCAGGGAGTCTGCCAGATAAATATTGTGACCTTTATTTTAAAGGAGTTTCTGAAGTCTTTTAGTCCTTAAAGGTGAGTTGTTTTGGGGAGTTACTCCGTCTTATAATCCATCTTCTTTAATGGGAAGTTAATTTTGATTTGAATTAGTTGCACAGGGCACTTAGGTTCTTTCCAGGTTTTGTCCCTAACAGTCCGTAACAGCCAGTGTCTCAGGGATGAACTAGGAGGCAAATTTGCAGCAGGCGGCAGCAAAGAGTCACTGTTCTTTGTTGTTACTGCCTATGCTCCTTGTCTATAGATTTCATGCAAGTCATTTAAAATATAAAAAGTCTCTCTGGAAGGGGGGACGTGGGACCCGAGGTGTAATCTCCAGGCTTAGGTTGATCTCTCTCATCAAGTGCTTAAACTCAATGGGAAGTGGGAAAATTATCCTACTGAAAAAACTGCGAATTGTTCTGATGGAGTTTTATGTGGAATCGTTCCCTTCTCAGGGGCTCTGGGACACCTGGATCCTAAAGGGGGAAATACAAAGGCAGTGGTTGTATGTAGGTCTCAGAAGCCCCTTGTTTAGACACAGTCACCTGCATCTTAAACAATGCTTTGCTCTTTTCACCAGAAAGAGAGCACATCTCCCTGGTGTCACAACATGCACTGTCACGGTATGGTAGAAGTTTTAATCCGCCCTTAGGTCTAGGAACTATGCCACATACCACAGTATGATTCTATGTGGAGTCTTCCTTATCCTGATAGAGAGGTATTCCTTTCTAGCCATTTTGCTGTTATATCTCATTTATACCTTTTAGCTGATAATGTGAATTTTTTGATATCCATTTCATTACTTGTTTTTTTTTGTTTTTTTTAAAAAAAAAACAAGTTACATACTGACTTCTAGCTTTTGGACACTTTGCATTTAATTTCCTTGATCCAGAATCTCTAAATAAGACTTGGTGCATTTGCAAAAATGTATGGAAAAACAGATACATAAGCATGCAACCAATATGTATATTAAATATAATTCCATTAGTTGGTCGCTACATACCTTGAACCTGGAGGACTTGAGATATATCAAATCCTTGGCTAATTCTGACAATAATCATGCCAAGCTCAAAATCAAATGTATCACTGAAAAGGGAAGAAGGGAGGAAAAAAAGGCATGAAAGAATATTCCTTTTATCAATGAAAGATGACTTGAGAAGATCAGCAAAAGTTTCGGTGCTTCCTGGCAGGAAGCATTGCCATATATGGGGCTGTTCCTGGTAAAATTATAGAAGAATTAAGCAAAATTCTGCCAACTTTCCTTTGCCATAAGAGTTGTCCTTGCGCATGGGGAACAAATAGACTACCTTTTGGTGTCCTTTTATGACAATGTTTTAAGAAATATTTTCTCTGAGAAAATAAAATTTAGTGTGCATTTGTTCTTCTTTAACATGCTGTGGCTTTGCAGGCAGATTTTCAACAAAAATCTTTGAGAAGCCTGTTTCTGAATGACTTTTTTCTAGCTAAATCCCAACCCACAGAGCTGCTGAGCCTTAGGCACACACGACATCTTAAGGATTCTTGCACTATCCCATTCACTTAAAAGAATTCCATGATGTGCTTATATTCCCTAAGTATGTACATTGGGGTTGTTTTTCTCTGTGGTTCTGCCTGCAAAGAGTGAGAAAATACAGTTCTGCAAAAGCACTGCTGACAGCAGCGCAACTTCTTTGTGTAGCATTTCAAGTCACTTCAGCTCTGACAGTGCCAGATGTTTGCTGAGCACATCTTGCTAGATGTGTGAAGCCAAGGAGACTTTTTTATGTGTAGAAACTTTTGCTACAGAGCTAACCCTTGTGAATCTAGATCTCTAGGCATTTTCTTATTTAGTTTCTACACATCATATTGTGCATGGAAATGCTATAATCAAGTCTAAAGGGAGTAAAAAGAATCATGCTGAACTGTGACTTACTGTATAACGCCCACATAGTTCTCAACTTGCGCAGCTGTAGCATTTCTCCAGTCCTTCTTAAATCCAATCACCAAGGTATTTGGTTTCATTCTCCCCAAGCCTGAGGCCTAACAATATTAAAACACTGCTTGATAAGGTTCACACACATGCTTTTGCTGTAAATGAGAAATAATGGCAAAAGATAACCGAAGTAATGTTCTGGAGACACTTACAATGAGATTACATTTCATGAATGTCCTTCATGCCCATATCCAAGCAGAAAGTGGAAAGATTAGCTCTAAATCATCCCAACTATAAATGATTTTTAGATGAAAGAAATGTAGTTTTGCTAAATTAGCACTCATTTGCATTTCTTTTGACAGGATCTCATTAAAATGGCTTAATAACTTGGAATCAAGAGAGAATTCCATGTTGTTTGTATTAGTATACTAACATACTAACATAAAGCTTTTATCAGATTTGGTATACTCAATAGCTTAACTGTGTCTGAAGTCTCTTAAAGATAGAGAATGTGGAATTGATACCCTTTTAAGAATAACTTTTTTGCATTTAGTTTAGAAATGGTTGTTGTTCTGATTGTTGTATTCCTTCCAAAATATTATCCATAACTAGCTGAGCATACTTTAAAGATAAATTACAGTTTATAACACTTAGAAAAAACACAGTATTTGTTAAGGTGTTAGATCCAAAACTGAGTGTGGAAACTAGAACCTTGATTAAAAGGTAAGAGTTGTCAGATCTGAATTCGGCAAACCTAATTTTCATAAAACATTAATAGTCAGTGTATTAGAAATGATGGGGAGGAGACCCAGAAGTACATAGCTTGCCAAGTTGTTACTCAATTTGCCGATTTTTACTGCTAGCAGAAGGAAATGGAAAAGAACTTTTCTAATCCTTTTTTTTAATATTTTTATTTTTTTCCTGATAGGGAAATGTACCGTGTGCATCCACATGGTCTATATTAAAATGAATAGCTATTTAGTAAAACAATAGAAACATTTTTAGGGCATTATAGTGATGATTATCCCCTCATATGCTGGAAGGGAACTCTTTGTGGTCCACTGATATAGTAGTAATGAAAAAGAGATCATTGGACTATAATAGTTCTCAAAAAACATCAGAAGGAACTCCCACTGAGACAGTGTATGAGCCTAAGGTGAAGTAGCCTTGTCAGGCTTTGACAAAACAAAGAGATCTTTTTAATATTTTTTCTTGCTCAATTGGACCATTCATTTAGCAAGCATTCTAGGAGCCCTGGTATGCTACCAATAGGTGACTATTACCCACTGTTAGTTGATTCCCTAATGGCCTGGTTTGCACTAATGTCCTTTCAAAAGTGAATTTTGTACAAAGGATGAGAGATTTCACCACACTTTGTATCAGCATGTGTAAGTATTCGTATATCTGTGAGAGGTAAATGTGAAATATGAAAACAGTGTCTCTGTTTGATCAGTAAGGCTATCTTAAATGGAATGTTGGAAATGATCTTCTGTATCCTTATAATAATAGAAAAATACTGCTGATATGTTTTATTTAGATGACTTTCTCACTGCAAAAACATGTGTTTGCTTCATTTTTAGTTTTCAGTTAATTCAAAATTATTCTCAATTATTCAATATTAATCTGTAGATGTAATTTGAAGTATACCTAGTATAGGCTGCACAGACTTTCATGTGTTGTTCTTTAGGTACCTCTTTCCATATAATAAACTCTTACTCATTTAGCAGAAGGTCCATCTGCCTTGTTTGATAATTCTGAAGACCGGAACCAGATCTGTTTATGAAATAATCTGCAATATAAATACATGTACCCACAGGATGCCTCTCTCTATGACATTTTCCATTTACAAGTAAGACTTCTCAGCAGGTAAACAGTAAGGCTTTACATAGAGGGATTCTTTGATGTAACATTCTACTGTGTGTTCTGTAAACAAAAATCTTACTTGAAGGAGACTTTTGACTCCATCTCTGAAGCTGTCAGCTGCCACTGCTGCATAAAAGGCTTTTCTTTTGTTCTTTGTAAGCCAGGCCTGCTTTTTTGCCATGCCACTGTTCATCTCCTTAACACACAGTTTGCGCGGTCCCTGCGTGATACAGTAAAATATTATTAAGATGTCTTTGTGTTATACATCACACAGTGATTCTGAAGGAGTTACCTTGTCTGCTGTGGGAATGGAGAGTTAGAAAAATACATTCCCAAAAAGAGTCCACAGAGATTCAACCCTTTGAAAAAAAACGTGCTGCTAACATAATTCACATTCTGTTGAAGAGGACTGAGAGGACTTAAATACAGTGATTCTGACAGAAAGAAGGACTACTCTGGATTGTAACACCTTAGAAAAATATCTAAGTTATGATGAAGCATCTCAGAGTGAATCAACTCCCTCCCTGACTTGACTGCGTAAGTAAGGCTTAAGCTACTATCTAGTAGTAAGAAGTAAAAAAGAGAAAAAAAAAAAAGTTGTTTCAGTATATTTAAAGGCACAAATGCTTTTGTCACCAAATCTTTTCAGTGGTCATCTGACAACTTAATTAGACAAAATTAAGACTCTTCATCTGTATAGCCATGACCCAAAGCGGATGATATACTGATTTTTGTAGTGGGGAATGGAATGGCATCCCCAAAAGATGTTCCTGGGGACATCACTAGTTACTCTAACTACAGTCTAATGTTGATGCCTGTTCACATTTTGAAAAGTGACATTCAGCAGATAAAGGTGCTTCTGTGACAAAGCAGTAAATGACCATGTTGGGGCATATAGGAACGTTAGACACATGTTCGACACATCAAATTCACTGAAAGCAATCTTGTTCTGAAGCCATTAGTTAATTAGTAATGTTATGCCATTAGTAAGAAGATGTGGAGGCTTCAACTGAGCCTTTAGAAAGATTGAGGTAATTTTGGGAAGCATGCATCTGGTATTTAATTGATTTCAAAAGTCCATGCTTCTAAGTTTCTAAAGTTGAAGCTTGCTAAGACTGGTTTGTTTTCTTTCACTTTGTCTTTTATGAAGCAGAATTTGAGGTCCAGGTCTTCTGCAATCCAAGTGAATCTCAGAGGGGTGCTTGGGAGGTCTCAGACTCTGTTTCTGGAGTGTTACTGGTCTGGACTGATAGTCTTCGCTTTCCAGGGAAGATTGGAAGACAAAAGTGTAAATCCCCGGGAATACAGCATCAGAGTCTGGATGTTCCAAAAGGAGGCAGTTGGCTTGGTGGCACTCGGAGTCCAACAAGTAAGTTTCCATGTGCCTGGCTGTGCTAGTGGTACCAGTCTGGTTTGTTATAAGCAAGTGGTTTAGTTTGCTGTACGGTTTCATTTCATGAGAAGTCATTCCTTTGTGTTCTCCTTCCTTATTTCTTTTTCCTTTTTCCCTTTTTCCCCCCCCCTTTTTTTTTTCTTTTTTTTTTTGTGTTTATGAGGATGCTGGCAAGTGCAAGTGGTTGTTTTTGCTCCAAAGGAACAGATTCAGTAAACATTTCATACAGCATAAAATCAGGAAAGCTTGGTGGGCTTGTACTCAGGAGATTGTATTTCAAAACTCAAAAACTTTCACTTTTGAAGTCAGTATACAGTAGATTCTGCTAAGGTAAGGAACTGGTTAAAACAGAGCTGAGGGAGAGTTAGATTATTTTTTCTATAGCCAATACTGTAAGTCTAGAATTTATTTCCTTTTCAAGAACACTGTAAAAAAACAATTTGAAAGAAATTCTCTCAAAAATGAAATGTATAGGAGGGATCACTTAATTTAAAATCAATTTCTAAAATATGGTTTTTAATGTAAAGTGAAAACATTCTTCTCAGAACCTTTCAGCCTTACTGAAACTCTTTTGGCTTCCTGAAAGAAAATAGAATGTACTATACATATTTATACAGACAAAGAAATAACCACAGTATGTTTACTTTCAGTGAATTAGCATTGTCTGATGGGGAAAAGAAAGCCTTCCATAAAATTTCCAGCTAGTTCCATCTAAAAACCAAAAAAACAGCATTGAGAGAAAAGATGTGAAATAATCTGGTAGATGTTACATATCATGTTTTTATTTGTACCCTTTTATTATAATTAAAAAAGACAACAGTTATTTCTGATCTGGTCAAAAGTAGGCTACGTTGATGCTAGCCCAGGCATTCTCCCTTA